GTGCTCTTTACCCATCTAGTAAACATCATACTGTGGGAGTGTCAGCCTTGCCAAATTATAGATGGTCTTTTGTTCCATTTTAACAATAATCTTGTTTCTGTTCTTGTCAGTGGGATGAAAACATCACAGAAACACTTCTGCAGACTTACTGGTTGCAGATAATATTCCATCAATTGATTTGTGTTGTCCTTTATTTTGCAAGCATTTAGGAAATAAATTCTAGATGATATGATAGATCTATTTTTGTTACTGGCTGTACTGAGAAATGCTTCTTTTTTTCTATTTCAGCCTGTTGGAATGCAGCAGTCCGTATTAGAATGTCTCGCTATTTCTTATTCTGTAGGAGAAGAGCCATTGTATACCTCATGTTTGAGGCAAGTATATTCATGTACATTACAGGCATGCTTCACTGCTCTTTACCTTTATTGAATTTCTGTGTCTGGCTGTGCTGGCAGATTGCTGTTTTATGTGCTATTATAATTGCACTTGCCTTTTTGTTAAAAAGAAAAAAAAGGGGGGTAGTGGAAGGTTTTTACCATTTTAGGAATTATTTAGACAGGTCTTTTAAATACCTTTTTTGTTTTAGTTGTAGGGCCCGTTTAAACCAATGTGGTTAGTTGTGATGCATTTTAATGCGTTCACATGCCTTGCGTTAAGGCAGCCCGTTTATTTAAATGCACCACAATTGACCAAAAACTGCAATTTCACCAAGTTTCGCAAAACACCAGAACACCAGAAAGCAGGTTAGTGCTTTACTGTGCGTTGCAGTGTGCAATAAACACATTTATGAACAAATAAATGGCAGCAACAATGCATGTAACCAGCATTACCGTAGCACAGTTATGCAAATGGATCTTAACTTTTTGTCCGCGTATCTCTAGGCAACAAACACATTTCTGCTATACGTACACTTGAAGCTGCTCATAGGCAGGAGATGCCAGTTGCCTGATATAGCCACATCAGTTGACAGTCTCATTTGTATGCGACCTCCCAGATGTGGCAGTCTGCTGTCCTGGGGACCACTTGATAAATCAGTTTAGAAAAACCCATTCCGATCACTGTTTCCCTCTTGGGGGAGCCATCCTTGTACGTTCATAGACGGCTTTGTAGTGTTTTCTTGTCCTGAGTGTGCTTGGATTATGGTACTAGCCTGAACGCATCTAATGTATGTGGGAGATCTTGCATGTACGTGACCAGGATGAAACACATTAATAAAATGTACTTATTTGAAAATACATTTTCCCCTTTATTGTTTCAATGTCCTTTTTAGGTGGATGGAGAAGTATTTTGTGAAATGTTGGTCTGAAAGAAGTTTTGCCAGTTTACCTGTAGATCTGCAGAACAGCTGCCTTTCTGCTTTAGTTCAGTCACTTGTAAGTACAATTTAGCTTTTTTGTAATTCTGTATCTCTGTATTTCAGCAAAGCATGTATTTTCCTGGTGGTTAGGGGTTGTTAAAGTTTCAGTCATGTAGCATGTATTGCTTGTTCAGTACAGCTTTTGACCACCCCATAAGATGAGGGTTTATAACATTAAATTGGACACAGGTAGTCATGCATATAAATATTGTTGAAGCGTATCAAGATTTGCCCTGCGTTTATATGCCCTGACAAACGTCTTTCTCGTTGCTGTTATGCGACTTAGTGGAAACCTCCTGTAATTCCATATGTGTAAAATAACTTTAAAATTGTGCACTCAGGATTTGACTATTGAAAGCTGTTTCTTCCGCAGCTTGTTTGATTAACCACACTTTACAATCTGTTTATTTAGACCAAATGTAAAATGAACTGCTAACTCAGTGATTCCGATTTATGTAGGTCAGTGCCTCTAGGATCAAAATTAATTCCCTTTTACACCAGTTGTTGAAGCCCAGTGTCAACTGATGACTGACATGTTTTAAAATGTGCTGTAACAACACTGTCAGCTTGCTTTTATTGTCAATAAATGTGACAATGTCAATAAATGTGACAATGGTATAGCGCTGGTTAAATCTAGTTATTGCACTGTGGTACTGAGTTCAGGAATCGTACTGTTAATACTTGCACAGTATATGCTCCTTGTACTTAATGGGGGAAAAACCTAGCTTGTTTTTAATTTTTCAGGCTGTTGATATAAAGAGTAATACTGTCTGCAGGAATGGTAAATTAGAGTGGGGAAATGGAAGAGTTGCCGTTTGCATCCGATCTGATTCCCGCTGTTATTGCTCTAGAAAATATATAACAAAAGCAAATATCTTATTGGGCAATAACATTGGTTGTTACCGTTTTTATACATTTGAATTAACTCTGTGTGTTTTTCCTTTTTGTCTGCAAAAACACAATTGTAGAGTTTTTGGAGCTCTCTAAACTGTGACTACTGTACAGCCTTGTAAAATGAGGTTATTTTTCATCTGATTGATTTCTTCCAACTACAAATTCTAAGGTGTTTTGTTCCTTATATTTTCCAATTATTGTAACTTTGAAATACAAAGGTTTGTTCTTAAGTTGAATTTGTATGCAAGTTGGAACAGGTAAAAATTTTTTAAGTAACTCCAGCCAAAAAAAACGTTATTCTTTTTGTTTTGGATAGCATAGGGAAGGGTGAACCCCCTGTAACGTTTGTTTTGCTGTGTGTGCCGCTCAGAAGATTTCACCTCACTTTTCTGTCCCTGTGACAATTGGATTTTGGAAATTTTGGGTTGTTGTGGAAACTAGGATTGGCGATTAAAGCTTCAGTGGAGACACCTTTTTCCCATGATCACTCTTACAGGAGCGAATTTCCCTTCCTAGGGTTAAGGGGTAAATTTGTTGTCTCAAGGGCAAGAAGTGAGATTACATCTTTCTAATGATGATACAGACAGCAGTAAAAACCCACCATGACCCAGAAGAGGCGGGAACCCCTCGCTGGACATCTAACAAGATCCGACTTCTTGTAATGTATGTACAGTACTAGGAACCAGACCCAAAAAGGCCGACACTCCTCGTCGGCTTGAGTGTGGTAGCATTTATAAATACTGAAATGCTGCGCAGTACACTTTCGCTGCAGCCTGGGACCCCCTGCTATACAGTAATAGCCTCCGTTTGTAAGTAGGGGTCTATGTAAGTCGGATGTTTCTAACTCGGGGACTGCCTGTACCTAACAATTGTTTTGTAATGCCGTACCTTGGATGGTGCTGCTAGAGTCTTTACTGTCCAGCCTTCTTTACTAATTTACACCCGGGAGCTGAATCTTTTATATGCTGGTCTGTACCCAGGAAAAGGTCATACATGTAAGATAACAATTTGCTGCCCAGATATTAAGCGTTTCACAGGCCAGACAATGGAGACTGGTTTTCTGGTATGGTATTGTATAACTAACTGGCACAGAGGCGAGAGATCGGGGTTGACATGTGTCCAAAGGGCACTTATTCTTTAGAACCCATTTACACTTTTTGCAGTGCGTTAATGTGCTTTGTTCCATGCTGAACTAAGGTAGACCATTCACTTCCTAATGGGCTTCAGCACAGGTGCACGGGGAAAGGTGTGTTGGAGTGCCATTCAGAATACTAGGCATAACATACTTTGCTGCAACCTAACTGTGTGAATCCAGCCTTAAAGTAATCCTGCTGAACATGGAGGTTGGCATTGATCACCTTTCCTTGTGAAAATGCTAGTTGCTTGGCTGTCATGGTGACCCAGTTGCATAATATTTTCTAAATCCCTGACCTGAAAAAGTGCAGGTAGGAACTTCTAATTTTTCTCCTTATCTGCATACGTTTTTTAGGTCCGTAACTCAGAAATAATCAAATTCAGTAGGCCAGTCTAACAGCCAGACAACTAGCATAGAAAAAAAAGTGTTAGCAGTTGCAGCTCAAGTATTTCCTTCAGGACCGGTGTTTTTTTTTCTTGAACTTCTTTTTATTTTTTTAAAACCTTTTTATTTTTAAATGTTATTTTTTTAAACTTGGGCACTAAGGGGTTATTTTTTATTATTTTTTTTTTTTTACAGGGGCTTTGATACTTTGTATCTCTGAGGAGAATACAGTATTCTCTTTGTATCCGTTTGTAACACACTAAGCCAGATCGCAGCTGCACAACACAGTGAGCTGCAAACTGCCTTTCTGGCTGTCACCGCTCTGTATTCACAGCATTTGGCTATCGCTGTGATCACAGGGCTGGGACTACCTAATCTGCTGTTGAGGGGTCTCCCTGCGACCCCGAGGGACCCAACAACAGCAGTGACTCAATGAGCGCTTGGCCCTCCATGGACCAGCGCTCATACTGCATGACGGGATTATCACCTCACCAGTCATTAATGAACTGATCGTGACAGTATAATCCCGTCATTGGTCGGGAAGAGGTTAAATGGCATAGTTTTGAGAGTGGCTGTTTCCATCACACCCTAAACAAAAGATATACTAGTTTGTGACCATTTAAAATCATAATAGCAGCTTGCATACCCTGGCAGGAATCATGACATTTTTGCATTGATATTGAAAACCTGACTGATCATGCAAAAAAAAATTTTTTTTTTTTAAGGATAGTGATCATATGAAGCCATTTATTATCACATAGTTTTTGGCTCCTTTTTAAATCGTAATGATAACTGAAATCACCCAAATAGCCTGATCAAAAGTTTACACAACCTGGAATGTTTGGTCTTGTTACAAACACACAAGGTGACACACACAGGTTAAGATGGCAATTTAAGGCTAATTTCCCACATCTGTGGTTTTTCAAATTGCAATTAGTGTCTGTGTATAAATAGTCAATGAGTTTGCTAGCTCTCACGTGGATGCACTGAGCAGGCTAGATACTGAGCCATGGGGACCAGAAAAGAACTGTCACAAGACCTGCGTAACAAGGTAATGGAACTTTTATAAAGATGGGAAAGGATATAAAAAAGATATCCAAAGCCTTGAAAATACCAGTCAGTACTGTTCAATCACTTATTAAGAAGTGGAACATTTGGGGATACCATGCTAAGGTCAGGTAGACCAAGGAAGATGGCAGCCACAACTGCCAGAAGAATTGTTCGGGGTCCAAAGAAAAACCCACAGGTAACCTCAGAAGAAATGCAGGCTGCTCTGGAAAAAGACGGTGTGGTTGTTTCAAGGAGCACACTACGACGATATTTGAACAAAAATGAGCTGCATGGTCGAGTTGCCAGAAAGAAGCCTTTACTGAGCCAATACCACAAAAAAGCCCAGTTACAATATGCCCGACAACATCTTGACACGCCTCACAGCTTCTGACACACTAATTTGGAATGACGAGTCTAAAATAGAGCTCTGTGTTTTGGAGAGGGGTCAACAAGGCCTGTAGCGACAAGAATACCATCCCCACTGTGAAGCCTTGTGGTTGCTCACCGATATTTTGGGGGTGTGGTAGCTCTAAAGGCACGGGGAATCTTATGAAAAATTGATGGCAAGATGGATGCAGCCATGTAGTTATCAGAAAATCCTGGCAGACAATTTGCATTCTTTTGCACAAAACGCTCTTGGACTTTCTAGCACGACAATGACCCTAAGCACAAGGCCAAGTTGACCTTCCAGTGGTTACAGGAAGGTGAAGGTTCTGGAGTGGTCATCGGTCTCCTGACCTTAATATCATCGAGCCAGTCTGGGGAGATCTCAAACGTGTGCGGTTCATGCAAGACGACCCAAGACTTTGCATGACCTAGAGGCATTTTGCCAAGACGGGCAGCTATAACACCTGCAAGAATTTGGGGCATAACAGACAACTATTACAAAAAACTACACGCTATCATTGATGCTAAAAGAGGGCAATAAATAACTAAGGGTATGTAGACTTGCGAACAGAGGTCATTTCATTTTTTTTTTATTTGTTGTCATGCTTTGTTTTATGATTGTGCCATTCTGTTATGACTTATAGTTGAATATGAATCCCATAAGAAATGAAAGAAATTAGTTTTGCCTGCTCGCTCATGTTTTCTTTTAGAAATGGTACCTATATTACCAATTCTCCAAGGGTATGCAAACTTTTGAGCTCAACTGTATATTGTGGGGCTAGATCTTCCTATTGGGATAACAAAGAGCAGGAAATATCTAGTGGGGGACTAAACCCTGTCCTGTTCAAGCAGTTTTTTTCAGAAGGTCAGCAGTTGAAGCCCGCATATGGCTTCCTCCAAAACCCTGTATTTACAACCAAGTACCTTGCATTTCTGAAAGGCAGAGCTTTGTCACTTCCTAAAATTTTGACAATGCCTATCTACCCCCTCATGCCATCTGTGCATTTCTATTGGCTAGTAAGGCAGCCTATCATAGTGATAGGGCAGAAGGAATGGGGGCAGTGGTAGCAACAAGGGCTGACTGCTTTTTAGTACTGGCAAGGGTTCTGCTGTAACAGCAAGGGTATTGGGGGGCCACTGCGATTTATGTGCAGGTGCTCCTAGATATCTGCAGTATTTTTTAAATTATTGAATATGCTTTTATGACTTTAAAGCAGTGAGACCGTATAACCAGTGAGGTTATATTGATTTGAACCACTATAAACTAAAACAATTGTTTTTTTTTTATTTTGTTTTCTAAAACCTAAAAAACAGGGTAATTCATTCCTAATGGTAGTGAGATGTATCTCCTACTTCTCATTCAGCATTTCTAGATTAACACAGGAAGAGGTACAGTTGAGCCTAAACAAAATGTACAGCACCCAGTCCAATTAGTATCCATTCACATGTGCTAAAAGAATTAGGTTTTTAGTAATTTATCATGCTGAGCTTAATTGATAGTCTTGAGGCCTGATTTCATAACTGCTCTCTCCTATTTCACTGGGTCGGGCACACTGCAAACCCTATTTTACACCCCATATTTAACATTTTAAAACCTACAGTACCCCATGAAGTTCTTTCTGTTTAGCACAGCAGAGAGGGTGCATTGCTTGGAAGAGACCGTCATGTGAGAGAATTGTTTCATCAATGTGTATATATAAGTATACATAAAATATGTAAACGGGTAGAAGCAGGTAAGTAGACCAGTAAGCCTGACCTCTGTTGGTGGAAATGTTTTTAGATTCTGAGGAAAGACAAAAATATAGAATCGTGAGCAAAAAGGTGATGTCTAACCAACACAATCGGTTATATTATTAGGGAAGGTTTAATCTACATGTTGAAAATGCTGTCCATGTGACGTGTTTGGATCTTGCTAAACAATTTAATAATGTCCCTCATAATAATCCTGGTTCAAAAGTTGAGGACAGAATAATTCGGGGAGAATTTTTATGGACATGTATGGAAAAACAATCCTGGAACTTTTCAGGGGCTACATTGTACATAAGAATGTGAAACAGCAACTCCTAAAATGAATTTTGCATTTTACGTAAATATAAAATCGCACTAAAAGGCTTCAAAGAGGCCAGAGGAGGATGGGGAAAACCAACAGGGCCATTCACAAAAGGGTGAAAGGATTGGAGAAGGCAGGAGAAGTGAACAATCTAGGCCAAAATGGCTGATTTGGAAAAATTCTCCAATTTAGCTCATTGTCCAGTTCAGCTATATTGTCCAAGATTGTTCCCTTCTCCGGCCTTCTCCAAACTCTTCACCCTTATGTGAATAACCCTGCAAATGTTTGCTTGATCTTGCTGATGTTTTGGTGAGTCAAAGCCCACTGTAAGAAAGTGGGTTATACTGTATGTGGGGGCTGTTTATGCGATTAGTTGCTACCATTTGTATTGTCTACAGTCCTCTTTTCAAGCTTTTTTTATCTGGTTATGTAAAATAAAAATGATTCTTTTAGGAATTGTATCGTGTGCCTTCTGTTTTATGAAAGTTTGCTGCACTATATTTTAGTACATGCCATTAATCTGACCGATTTTAGGTGTGTATAAGCATATTCTTGCATGTTATATACACATGAAGTGTACTGAAAACCGTTTCAACTTCAAAACCTGACCCAGTTCATGTAGCAAAGGTTTGCCTGCTTCCATATTTAGCACTGACTTGCTTAGTGAATTAACCTGAGCTTGCTTAATTATTTGATGTCGCTTAAGTCAATGACATCAATTCATTAATTCATCATCCCAGTTTTATTCAGGAAAACCAAAAAAAAATAAAAAAAATCTAAAAGGATGTTTTATAATATGATGCAGCAAACTGCTTCCTCTGTAAACCAGAAATGACGCATGAGATTTTAATGCCCTTTCACATGGCAATTGCACGTCAGCAGGGATGTTCTGAATCTAGCATGGGATCTCTAGTTACAGTATATACAGGAAAGGGGGCAGTGTGTTCTAGCATGCGCTCTCTAGCTATATGCAAGAAAGGAAGCAGTATGTTCTGTCATGGGATCTCTAGCTATATACAGGAAAGGGAGCAGAGTGTTTAACATGAGATCTTTAGCTACATACAAGAAATATACAAATTCAATGGAAAATGTGTGACACGTTGCATTTTTCACGTGCAGAAATCAACCCCCCTCCTCTCTAATCACGCGCAAAAACACTGTTGCCTTGCCTAGGTGTGAATGGAGCCTAACTTGTTAATAGAACTATGGGCCAGCCTTATTTGGCCATAGTTCTCTTTAAGATCACAGAAGGACATATACATTGAAGGGGATTTATCAAATCTACAGCAGACAAAATCTGCAGCAGCTGTACATGACAACCAATTGGCCTCTCTCTCTCATTTTCAAATCTTAACTGAACAAAGTGAAGAGAGAAGCTGATTGGTTGCCATGCACAGCTGTTCCAGATTTTGTCTGCTCCTGTTTGGATAAATTCCCCCCAATGTCTTCCTGTGACCCAAAACTTTGCATATAGCAAGCTAATGCCTGCTATATGCCGACAGTGCAAAGCCGCGCTGCAGTTGGGATGGATCATGAAAATATGGTCAGGATACACCCCCATCCCCCGCCTGATTGACAGCTGGCTTTGCCTCTCTAGAGGCAGAGCCAGCTGTGCCCAACATCCATCTGTACTTCTGCAGGGAGAGAATCGGGAACTCTGCGATCGGCGGTATGTGCTCACTGAGATCCCGAGTAGAGCCGACGTGTGACAGCTTTAGTGTCACACCGACTCTAATTATGGAGAAGAATGTATTTCAATCTCCCCATAGTTCTCCTCCTTTAAAGCTTGGTTCATGGTGGGTTTGACATTTGAAGAATTAGTGCTGCAAGGGATTGCCGCCCTTGTTCTACCATGGCAAAGTTTGATTTGATGTGGTAGACAACTCCTATAATATTTACACCATATTTGTGATAACACTGCACAGTTTTTCTTGTCATTGTCAAACAAATGAACTTCCATATAACTTAAACCACATTCGGCTGCATGTATTTCAAGTAGAAACGCTTAAGAGAGACTAATAGCTGTGTGTCTATGTGTCGGGTGGATGATTGTGTTGCTTTGCAAGCTGCCTTTTCAGTCTGTCTGGTGACAGACACCCTGCAATTATCCATGTTGACATGTGCTACTGTCAGAGTTTGTGTGCAGAGCTATTATAGATGTTTATGGATACATCAGGAGGTTTTCGGTGTCAGAGTTAGTGCATGCCTCTTGGTAAAATGCAGATAGGTGATTTTCTTTTATAAGACATACTGAATTCCTGCCACTTTTCTTGTTTTCCAGTCCTACAGGAATGCTGCATTTCTATTGATGGAAAGTGACCGGCTGCTTAGCAGTCTTCCTGAGGTGAAGTGGACAGAAAGAGCGCGGAATTTAGCATCTGATCTTCAGGATGAATGTGTGAGATTTATTGTGACAAACTTCTCCCAAGCCATTAGAAGTGAAAGTTTTGCCCATTTGTTACAGGTACTTTTTTTTCTGGTCTTAGCCTTTATCTTTGTAAGATACTCCTGCTTTCCACAGCAACTGTCCTTATTTTATTTAAACAAAAGATTACTTGTTGCCCCTAGTGGGTCCAGCCCCCAATTCTACCTGTTAATGCGCCAACAACACCACAGCTCTGCCTGGCTGAAGATCCAATGTGAATGTAATCAATAATGGGTGGATACAGCACACCTGCACTGGAAGGTTTATAAGCAATTAATAGCAAACATTAGCAGGGGTCATAGAATGCCTTGACATGTTTCACACTGTAGTGTTTAATTATAACGCCCATAATTAGGCACTATGCTGTGGGACACCTGAAGGCATTATATGGCCGCGGCTAATGTTTGCTATTCGTTGCTTACAAACCTCAGGGTTTCTGAAGGTGCTGCATGGACCTGTTAACTTGTTTGACACTTAAAAACTGCCCAATTTACTGTATAGTTATAGTGCTTAATCTTAATAGCTGCCTATAGTACATTGCTGTGAAGATTCGCTGCCATGGATTTTTCTTCCTTACTGATGATGTTAAATTATACCTGTTTGAAGGGAATGGAACATATATAGGAGCACAAGAGGTGTGAACATCCAATGCCCATGTTACACTAATGATCCATTCACTGGCAGATACTTGCAAGCTACAATTTGGCTGGGAAAGCAAGGAAACCGCTCACCTTCTCCTATAGCATGGCTCCCTTGCGGGCCGGAGCAATGCTGTAGAAGCAGGTGAGCATTTATTTAGCTATGCATGCTTATTTAGGGCCACCAGTGACAAGATTGCTAGTCTGGTTGTGTGAGGATAGAAATATCAAAGCTGCCATAGGTGGCTTGTATTTAAAGGTGGTAGGTTTCAGGGATCTCATGCTGATCAAACATGCAGGCAGTAAATTTGGAAAAAGATGAACTCCATTTCATTGTTTTCGGTCACTGACACAGTAGGTAGTGAATCCTGGAGCACGATGATGGCCCTAGAGCCAACACCTTTACAACTCAGCAGTGACTTCTGCCATCTTTCTGTCCTTTTTTAAAGGTGCAATTTAAAGCTATCCAATAAGTGCTATGTGTATGTATGACACGCATAAGGTGTACACCGATCAGCCATATCATTATGATCACCCACCTAATATTGAGTAGGTCCCCCTTTTGCCACCTGACATGTTGGGGCATGGACTTCACTAGACCTCTTAGGTATGCTGTTGTATCTGGCACCAAGCCATCTGTAGCAGATCCTTTAAAGGGTAATACCAGTTCCCCAGAAAATGTAAGAAACAGACTTCCCCCACAAATTGGTCCCCTCTTGCATCCTCCCCCTTTTAAAAGGTAATACCAATTTCTCATTAAATGTGGGAAACTACCATTTCCCCCCCACAAATTGGTCCCATCTTGCACCCTCCTGCTGCAGCTGGTGTATGTCCCATAGTGCATTCTGGTTCATCCATCTCTTTCCCAGGTAAGCGACCCACTCTGAGACTTTGTAGTGTGCAAAAGCTCTGTAAAGCTGACCGTACACCTGATTTTTTTTGTTTTGTTCAATCTGTGGGCTTGATGTAAAAAAATCTAACAGATTCCTCCATCCATGCTAAAAAAGCATGGATGAACAAATCTCCCACTGCGGGTATTCTGACAGCCAGTGCCTGCCGTTGCATATAAACAGCAACTGCAACAGACTGGCTGCAGTTACTGTTCAGCTAAACAGAGTGCTCTCAACATCGCCACATACTGCTCAAATTTAATCTGAGTTAGCTGCTGAAATTCATGCAATGTATGGCCAGCGATTAGTTTTCCTCCTCTGTTATCCCATATTTGATGATTTGGCAGTGAATGGTGCCATTAATCACCTTCAGCATATTCTGCATTCAGCAGTTTAATGCAGTCAATCCAGTATGGTATCATTGGTACCGCACCTTTTCTTAAGGCAATACAAAATCCAGCAACTAATTGCATAACATCAGGAGTCATCTACTCACTAAAATCCCTATCATAAGCTGCAAGCTAATTGGTTATTGGGCCCTTGTGAATTTACAGCAAATAATTAGTGGCCCACAAGCACAGGCAGACAATGTAGTAGGTGCTCCACTCAATTTTTTTCTGGTAAAGTCTGAGCTGCAAGAGTAATTCCATTCCCAGAAACTTGCTGGTATTTGTTTCAGGTGTATTACATCTCTGTCATCAGAAATAAACTAACAGCAGTGCATTTTTTCTCTCACCCATTTTAGGCCCAGGGGATGAGCAGCCAACCATATCTCTTAGAACATATTTTTAATGAAATAGAAAAAAGCATTTCATTTGAAAACTGCTCTTCTCTCTATATGGCTCTGGAAGAGTTATTAAGGTTGGCAATGGAAAATGAAATGGTAAGTATCCCTGTGCTCTTACTTTTTTAGATTTTATAGAAAGCTGTGCAAATGTTCTCCTCTGGGTAATACCTTTTAATCAGTACATGATACAGGTTTGAGTGATTTATTCACCCATCACCACCGATTACAGAACAGCAAATTGAATCCATCAGCGGGTTCTTCCTCTGTGTATTTACAATAGCACAATGAATCGCACAAATTGGCCTACTCTGTATGTTCCTAAAATGCCCTTTTTTTTTCCATTTTAAATTATTTGAAAACTAAAGTGGAGCTAATCCTGTTGTCATGTTAATGTTAAAGGAAGCTATTATGGTTTGGGATTAGTTTTTTTTTTTTTTAAAGAAAATGTCATGGCAAAATATTTCTAATGTTTTATCCCTTTATAAACACCCTGCAAGTGCAGAAAAATACCCTTTGATTGGCTAGAAATGCACTTGGCTACTAAGTCTTGTTTAGGCCTTGTTCACACCAAGCGCGGAGCAGGTGCAGAGCAGATCAGTTGCAGACCGGATCAAAACTGCGTCCAATGTATTCCAATGGTATTTTTTGCTCCAGTTCACATCGCAGCGTGCAGGTCCAGAGCAGGTTAAAAAAAAACTGCGGCAGGCCCTATTTTACGTGCTCTGGATCTGCAAACGCATCAAAAATGCCTGGAACGCACTGAAAGCCCATTTTAAACTTTAAAAAATAACTTTTTTTTTGTTAGCCAAAAATGCATCGACAAGACTAGCGTGCGTGTGCAGAAACCTGACCGGATCTGCTCTGCATTTGGTGTGAACAAGGCCTTAGGGCTGAACAAACCTTTTTTTTTTGTGGCCTGAAGGAAGGGGGGCGGAATAATCGTTAACTTTATAACCCAGTTCTGGGGAAAAACTCCAAATCTCCCACCTGCTGCTATGTTCTTAGCCATTCATTACGTTAAAAGAAGTTCTATGATTGATTTATTTTTTTTCTGGTACTGGAAAGTGGTGATCACAAGCTGCACTCTGATGTAGCTAATTGGTGTTGTTGCCACCCCTTGTGTATTGATGTTATGACTAAAATCCTTCAGAACCCATTGAGGACTCCTTATGGGCCCTGTAAGTGATATTTCTGGCAGTGATTACATCAGCGGGAAGTGATATGGGCACTGTATAAAAGACCTTCCCACACTACATACCAAAAGAAAAAAGTAATTGTAATTGGCTTGTTATGTAACTGTGGTCTGCTATAATATTTTTTTATCTTCTTCTTCTTGATCATACATCACAGGACGCAGGAGTTGATTCTTGAATGGATGGGTTATGCAGCTGCCTTCAGGTGTTTGGATGCTGGCAGATCAAAGCTGTTTGGATAGTCCTGCATAACCCCTCCCACTCCCAGACTGCCTCAGTTTTTTTTGCTAGTGTCAGGTAATGAACACATTGTCTCTGCAATTTTCTAATCAACTCTTCTAGCAACTTTCCCTATGTTGCTAAGAGCCACTGCGGCACCAAACAGCAGCACTGAATCCAGCATGGGGCACTCACCTTGGCACTGTTCACCTGGACACTGCTTCTCTAATCTGTGTAATCACCATAGGGTCCCTGGCCACGCTCCTCCCCTCCGCCCATCAGTTTGACTGATGGCAATTGGAGCCTATGGCTCCTCTGCCCCCAGTATCCTCCCCCGCAACCAGGAAGTTTGGGATCGCTTCCATGGCAGATGGTGACAAGCGCCATTGCCAGGTAAGAGTGCGGGGGGATTGTGGGAATCAAAAAGGTACTGGGTGTTGTTTACTTTAAATGCAGAGAATGCATTACGGTAAACGCTACTGAGCTGGCCAGCTGGAAGCACTTTTGTAGCTCCGTACGACGTACGTCCTTGGCAGCGAAAGGGTTAATAGTACTTTAAGACCTGGTTCACACCTGGGCGTTTTTAGCGCTGATCGCAAGCTGTAAAACGCCCAGCAAGTGAAAGCCCATTATTTCCAATGGCATGGTTCCCACCTGGGCGTATTTCAGCGTGTAGGAACGCGCTGAAAAACGCCCTACGCCCAAAGAAGTACAGGAGCTTCTTTTGGGGCGTATTTTCCGCGTGCATCAATTAGGATACAGCTGGATAGCCCTCGTAAACACGCGTTTTTGTCGCACATTTCATTGACCGCAAATCGCAGTAAAAACGTGTGTCAAATGTGCATATTACGTAAGCCCAAGTGTGAACCCAGCCTAAAGCTATTGAAGAAATCCCTCTGGCCCTACTCACCTGCAAGGTGACCTTCCTCGTTGCCATTACATCTTTCAGGTGTGTTTTCTGAATTGGTGGCCTTGACTTGTAAAGAGCCTTTTGTGGTAAAGAGCCTTTTGCCGCCATATCCAAAAGGATATGGTTGCACTGAGACTTAAGGTGCTCATACACCTTGCAAAAATCTGCCAGTTGATGGGAAGTGAACGGTCATAATTACTGTACAACTGGGCAAATTTCCTTGATCGGTCAGCCTGGAAAACTTTGTTTCGAATCGTACGAAATTCGATGGATTAGTGGCGTTTTCGTACAGAAATAAATCGCAACATGACCACTGCACATGCGCAAATGAAAATCCGTTCTGTCTATGAAATTTGACCAGTTAGTATTGCTAACGAAGATAATCTAAATCTACATTGGTCTGTGCATGATGGGGTATTAGAGTGGAAATCGAACAGGGGTTCGATAACGGGACGAAAGAAATCGAACGATAATTGTAAGGTGTGTGACCAGCCTTAGGGTCTGCTTTCTTCCTTTGGTCCCTGCCTATCACCTTAAACAACAGTTTGTCCTACCATCCTTATGTCCTGCTTCTAAACATCATAAAGAGGTTTCTTTCTACTGTTTCGATGTGTCCCAGACCATTCATGTTTACCTTTCTGCTACTACTACTCTCTACAAATTTGACTGTCATTTCTGGGGGTTCCCGTGTGGGGCAGCCAGCTTGTCGTTCCACTATCGTGAGCTGGATTCAGTGAACTATTAGTCAAGCCTATGAGTTGAAGGGTAAAGTTGCCCCATTTCAGGTCAAGGATTGCTCTACTAGAAGCATTAGTACATTTAGTTTTGGGCTTTCCAGCATCAGTTTTGGTATCTCAAATCTGTAAGGCTGCCACCTGCTCCTGTGTTCACACTTCTGCCAAGTTGTACCAAGTGATCTTTTAGGCCTCTGCAGATGCTAGTTTCAGCCACTAGGTTCTTGAGATGGCCCTCTGATATGTGGGTCCTTTCTGTTATAGTTCCCTTTTGGAGGTGATAGTTGTTATTTGGGCCTGGTGGGTGTGCGTTGCCCAAGGCTGTGGTACGTGGACGTAGGACAACCTTATTGCAGACACTCTGTGGGCACTTCTGGATCATCCAGACCTCCGGTACCAAGGAGCGCTATTTTTTCCTCAGTTGCTGACTTTTTTAACAGCCTGTTTGGGCTGATTTTTGATGTCACATTCATTCAGGAATCAACTCCCTGTGTCCTGTGGTGGACTTCAATAAATGAACTTTACAGGTAAGACAAAAATCCTGTTATTTTGCTAGCCTTCCCCCCCTCCCCCCCAAAAAAAATGTTGCTGTTGATTTTATTGACTTATACTTGATAGACCACTGATAATTGTTCCTTGGTGATTTTTCCTCAATAATTCTAACCCCAGATGCAGCTAGTCTCTACATAGCAGCTACCTGGATCAGCATATCCTCAGCAGCAGCTTTGCAGGCCTGGACCCTGCTGCACTAAATTTTGGGGGAATAACCTGAAATGTGACCTTTTGGTCACTGGGCTGTGCATTGTGGCACTTCTCAGACCAGTATATACTGTGTTAGTTAGCTGCAGAGTGCTTTCCAGGTCCAGAGCCATGACCTAGTCTTGGAGGCCTTGTATAGTGAGTAAGGACGGTTGGGCTAAAGCACAGGGAGCTTACAGTTGACCGTTGGAAGCCATTTTCAAAGTTAGGGTTGTAAGCTCCATTGGATTTTACTAATGGAGATCTACTTGAATTTACGAATGTTTGTTTAGATTTTCCTACTAGTATGGCAATCAAGAAAAGCGAAGAAGTAGTCAAGTGTTGTTCAGCAAACTCCCATTGCTGCTATAATGTGTAGGTAGATATCCTAAAAACTAATTTCTCCATGGAAAAACAGGACTTCTAAAAATATGGAAATGGTGACTTCCTTGCAAGTCGTTAGTTGAGCCTTCTACTTTTTCTACTGGCCACTTTCTGGTAACTTGGAAGAAATCGTATAAGTGCTATTCATTAAATGTAGTGGCACATGTAGAGGATTTCATTGATTTCAACCAGCGCCCATTCCCCAGTCTCTGTTGGGTCCAGAAATCGTAGCGACTGTGGTGTAATTTGTTGTGTTTCACTTACACTATGGAGTTCTAAAACTCATAAATTTACAAAGGTGTAAAGGGGTCCAGAATTGCTTAGCCAACATGGCACTCAACCTTTGCATTCTGTGAGCTAAGATGTGGTGTCTGCTTTATTACCCTGGCCCTCAGTCCCTGCATGTCCTTTTGTCATCACCAAAAGTAGCCAGCTTTTTACTGAATCACAAATGGTTTTTGTTGCACAGTGTCATTTGAATGGCACAGCTAATAGATGTGTCTGTACAGCACAGACTGCAATGCAGACAAATGTAACAGCAGATAATGTATGACAAGCTGCAGCCATGAGGAAGTCACTGCAGGTTGCGTCCATTAATAAAACCGTCACTGCTTATGAGAATAATCACCTGCAGCTGAGGCTGCCTGCTGAAAACCCATGTATTATTTATTTTTTATTATTGTCACACAACTAAAATATAAACTAAAGGCAAACACATCAAGGCGAGTCATATAATAATGAGCTGTGTCATATGATGATGGCATAATAAAAAACAAAAAAAAAAAGACTTACACTCCAGTAGGGAGTCACCTGCCCTTTGCTAGGAGATTGCTAAACTGCTAACTATCCCCAGAAGATTCAGATCCATTCCAGTTTGCTGTAATCTAGGTGATGGAAGTCTTTCCCTTTAAACGTCCTGCATGACTAGATGGCTGCTGGTTCTGCAGAGACATGGTAAATAGTTAACCACTTCTGTGCTGCTGCATTGTAACAAATAGCACAGCAGTCCCAAGGCCCTCACGTAGTAAAGAGATTAGGGGATTTATAAAAGGCCATTAGAACAATACACTCTCGCTGCGCAATGATCGTATTAAATCACACGACCTGCATTTGTAACGTTTGCCTGACTTGGAATACTCTGCTGTCTGCTTTCATACAGAGGTAGTATGATGGGGGTAAAAAAAACAAAATGTGGGCTGCTTTGTGAAATGCTGTGTTTTATTCTGTTGGAGATCTATGTGCTGCTTTTGCATGCGAGCTGTATTTAGTGAGTTACTATGCAAATATGATGTGAAGGCGTAGCGGACAAACCTGTAATAACATAAATGAAACAAACAGAAGAGCTGCTGGCCTAATCGCATTCACAGCTGCTCGCAGGAGTGTTTGATTTTGCAGTCAGCCGGCAGAATGACACAAGCAAAGAAGCCAGTGTGTTTAAGATGGCGTTTCCACCGTCTGTCACAAAGCAGCTTCATATCCACACCGGTTGTATAATCTAATGCTGCAGAACTGAAAGCCATTCGTAACGCTCCCTCCAGTAGGCAGTCATACAGTCTGTGTGATGACATCACTGACAAAGCTTAGGGAGTAAGTAGATTTCTGAGAGAGAGGAATATAATGACTGGTTGCCATGGAAATGTTCCCCCTGAACAGCTGCTGATTTGTCGCTTGAACATAGGTTTTTACGTGCAAGATCCAAGCTCTGCGTGATAAGCTGTGGAGCTTCCTGGTCCAGTCTTTTTATGCTGTACGGCACACGGAGGGCTGGAAATTGATGAGGCCGGGTGATCAGGACAAAATACAAGCAGGTAAGTCTGCTCGTTCCTACATGCTTACAGAGTTCATAAAATGTGCTGCTTGATGTTGTTAAAAACAACTGCATTTTTCTCTGGTTCATGCTTTCTGTTAGGGCTCAGTCTTTTTATTCAATAGTATTTGCATAAATATCCTTGTTATGCTTTTCCTCGTTTATTTATAATGAGATGAAGAATCAATTGCCGTAAATGTTATGCCTTTTTGAACACGGTTGAAAGAAAACCCCGCTGCAGTAATAATCTGCCCCCCTGATCAAAGTGTTTGGTGTAATCTGCATGATGTCTGGTTATCCTTTTGCGGAGAAATATAGAATTTTCCAGTATGCATGGTCAACACAGAATACAGAGCACTAACAGCCCGAATATGAAGCATCTGCAAAAACAGACCCGTTTACTGTCAGTATTGGTGATGCTTTTGAATGTACCTTGAGAAATGCATGGAATTCACAAAAAGCTTCATGCAGAATCTGTTATTTTTTATGCATAGGTAGAAGTGCCATGTGCACGTCTACTGCTGAAATAGCTTTTTATTTAAATCCCCATTGACCAGGAACTCTCAAGTACAGGCTAGTAGTGGTATCCTTGTTTTCACACACTTATAGTAATTGACCACTGTCAGTGTCTAAAAAAAAAAAAACACCAATAGAATTACAGCTCATGCACAAAATCATTTGCATGTATGTTTTCTCATACATAATGCAAGCCAGCTGATCGTCTTTGTGTATACCACACGGGCACGGTCCGTACAATCTTTTTATAATTGCTTTTAAAGCTTTTATTTTTAAATTATTTACATGCACTGCTCATTAGGAAAAGCTTTCTTCATCCATCTCTTCTACGTTAGCACTTCCCGTTTTTATGTATGTATTTCCCAGAAGAAATCTCCCCCTTAATCCAGTATAGTAAGACACAGTTACTGCAGTGTATGCTGCTGCTGTATCACTGACCCCTTCACTGCTGGGGGGACCGTTTGCAGCATAGTATTGTGTAAGGAAGAAAAGAAAACAGGTGCACCATTTCCTGGCAGCTGCTTTTCAGTAGTACATTTCTAAAGGACAGTTGCTTCAAATAATCACATTCACCCTCCTGGTCCGGCTACCTCACCAGCCTTGTTATTGCTCAAGATATATGGCCGTATATTGCTGTTTATTTTTGTTAACCATTAAGTCTATTTTTACTCTCCAGCTGCCTTTGATAAAGGGGATGATCGAAGACTTGCAAAGAAGCCCACATTTACTAGTTCCCAGGTAAATCTGAACTATATTTGGTTATTTAATATTGTGCGATAAAGAATGGTGTACGGATAAATATAAAGATGATATACTATTAGAATGGTGTACGGATAAATATAAAGAGGATATACTATTAGAAGGACAAGTATAGGTGTCAAATATACCAACCACCCGAAGGCTGTGTTTGATAAAGAATGCTGTATGGATAACTAAAGAATAGTGTATGGATAATATAAGATGATATACTGTTATAAGGACGGGTATAGGTGTCAAATATACTGACCACCCAAAGCCTGTGTTGCTAATGTGAATATTGCCAAATTCTAGTATACAGACTGATTTGCTAAAATCATTAATTTTCTATGTATGTGGTATAATTTGGAGTGAACAAATACCCTCTAAATGCTGTCCCCGGACTATTATGGCGGCTATAAATAGCCCCATATGTAAATGCTAGTAACATCCCTCAAGTCATTGCTTCATAACTAGGATCCAGATTTGATTCATTCAAGAGGAAAGAGCACAGCCAAGAGGACATTGAAGTATCTTAAGGCAATTTATATATTTCCACTGATACGCTAGAGGCATCCCTTAGTCCTTCCTCCACAGCTTGAGATGTGCTCCCAGGTAATGATGTAGGTAATTTAAGAGGCAGGCTCCGTAGCGGAGCGGAGACTATGATACAAAGCACATGACACAGGATGGAGTAATGTATTTTGAAGGAAGTTGTAGGTCCCCATCACACAAATAAATGACTACAAGATCCGTTTTGTAATTAGCTGGGTACATGATTTGTGTGTTCGGTGGTTGATTATAGGATTTGCAGATTATTGGTATTTGAAGTTTCAGAAGCTTTTGTATTTAGTGCTTTAGATATAATTACAGTTGATCCCTGGGTTGTTTTTCAAATACTTTATCATAGTCTGAAATAACATCTAGTAATGGCACACATACACAGTTTGGCTTGATGGTAGTTTAGACTAACACTAATGTGAATCTTTTTAGGCCTCATTCACACGACAGCAGATCCATGCTGTGTGCACGTATCGGACAACTCCTGGGAAGGACAAGTTCTGCGTGTGATTTGTACGCAGCAACCTGTTCTTCTCTATGGGAGTACGCGGCTGTACGCTCACCCGAACTGCACGTCGGAGATTTGTGGTAGGTAAGGGCCACAGCACGCAAACATTGCAGTGGGGCCTGTAAAGTCCTGCTAGTCTTGAGCCAGGGTTTTAAATGTTTTTGACATGTATGCTCAAGTGGTCTGCTTGAGGTAACTTTTTAAAGAAAAACTCCTGGTTAAAAATGTTATTAACCCTTGCAGTGGGGCTAACACGACACTGCAACTGTTAGGTGGTCGCTTTTGTCTAGGTGCTAAAGAAAAAAGTTATACTTACCACTGCATCCAAGCGTCTCTCCTCCTCTGCTGCACAGATGGGACTGCTCTTCGCCGTCCTCACGCCTATGCACTGTGTATAGAGCATGATGAGATCAGAATCCTTAGATTGATGCAGCAAAGGGGGGGAAGCGCTCCAGACAACGGTCTAGGAAGCCGACATAGATGGTCTGGTGAGTAACTTTTTTTTCTTTTAGTGCTTTAAACGATTTATATTTTAAAATCCTTGTTTCTATGTATAGTTTTGTTCTTGTAGATGTACATGGAGGCAGCCATATTTGCTTATTTACAGTTCTAGATAATGGTTGTAAATTACTGCTAAACACTGCATACTCTGTATAGTTTATGCCCCATCCTAACAGTTATTAAGTAGGGATATTGACTGACCCAAGCAAAAAAGTTGGACTACAAATCTCTAAATTTCCTACATTTAACAGGGATATGGAAAAAGTGAACTTGTAAAAATGTTCAAAAAAATTGTAACGTGAAGCTTGGAATAATCAGAATATACAGTATGTTTCACTGTATTTGGCAATGTAGTTCTCTCTGACTTTCACTTTAGATTAAGTTGATAACATCTTGATGAGTCGTGATGCCCTGCTTTATGTAATATAAAACTTCTATAATTCCCGTTTCCGTTAGATTGGTGTGCATGTCTCTTTTGGATGACATATTCTAGCTCCGTTTGCGTACACAAGCTAGATGGGTTCTGGTAAAAGATTTGCAGGGTTATTCACAAAAGGGTGAAAAGTTTGGAGAAGGCCGGAGAAGTGAACAATCTAGGACAACATAGCTGAACTGGAAAGTGAGCTGAATTGGAGAAGGTTCCAAATCAGCTATATTGGCCTAGATTGTTCACTTCTCCTGCCTTCTCCAAACTCTTCACCCTTTTGTGAATAACCCTGTTGGTATGTATGCTGATTGAGTGTTGATTTTCAGCCTGCTAACTTCCCTAGGTAATATGTTGCCAGCAATGATGCCATTTCCACCCTGAAACTATACCTCCCAGATGTGTTTCTAAGAATCTTAAAGTTTATTCAAGTTTTCTGAACGTTTTGACAAGAAAAAAAGTGCCTTATGAAAACCCACAACCTTTTTTTTTTTTTCTTTTCTTTTGGGATAGAGTAGCGGAGGGTTAGAATCTGCTTTTTGTTTATTGCGGTTTGTATTCCTGCTGGAGAGATTTTGCCATACTACTGGTCTTGCCACCCGTTGTCTTCAGTACAGAAAGTGATGGGAAATGCACATTTACACAATGTACTAATGGGTAAACCTGTTCTACTGACAGTTCTCTGGAAGTGATATCATCTTACTTCCTGCTGTGTTTTTACTTCCTGCTGTGTTTTTAGAACAGGAAGTAAAGGGAAATCTCCACAATGGGACACAGAAGAAAACACTGATGGGGTCTTAACCTTTACTACGCCTATCCAAAACTAAATAAACTTTTACATTTACATACACTTTGACATGTTTTGTGTATCATTTCTTTTTTATTTAAAATAAAATCTGTTTTTATTGCCTGCATTTATTTTTTTTATTTTGTTGCAGCAAACTCGACCTAAAATTGTGAAGTCAAAAGACGAACGTTCAGAGGAAAGCAAGAGATATTCGGACAGTTATTTCCTTGATCGGAGGAAGATGAAATCTGATTCATTGGGTGCTTCTGGACATACAACAAATTTACCTAGAAGTTCCTCAGGAAAGGGAAAAGAGGATGACGTAAAGGGAAAAGATGTCAAGAAAGTGACCAGCAAATTATCTAAAGACCCAAAACCGACAGAAAAGACAACTACAACGAGACCAAAACTCATTGTGAAGACCAAATTGGAAAACAATGACAATGCAAAGACTGAAGGTTGTGCTTCCAAAGGTGATTCTGCAAGTAATCCAAAGCCAGCATCTGGAAGAGCAGGTGCTAGGCCTAAAGCAACAAATGGAAGTGTTAATTCAACACCTAAAGTGAAGTCACTGAAGAAAACTGGCAAAGATCCTGCTTCTCCCGTGACAGGTACAGTGGCAAGCATTAAATCTGCAAACCTCAATGGCGAACTTTCCAACTCTGCTTCATCTCCAGGAGAACATAATACAAATCGGCCAGCTAATGAACATCGAAATTCTACAACAGGCTCACCACAGTTTAATAAGATGTTGAAAACAAATCCAGATTGTGCCAAAGAGATGGCTGCAGGTGAGCATGCATATACCTAAGGTTCTGATGTCTTGTTTTTTTCCCATTGTGTAGTTGTATTCCACATCTGTACCAGGTACACTAGTGATCTATATTTGTAATACTTTCTAGGTCAGTCTAGTATCAGGAGGAAAAGTAATCCTAGCTAGATATATATATATATAGATAGATAGATAGATAGATAGATATAGATCTATCTATAGATAGATAGATAGATATACGACACATGCACTGTATGGCCAATATGTGGGCTCAGGTACTTCCAGTGCACAGTACGATTAATGCTACCGCATACTGTAAAACATTTTTTAAACCTTGTCAAGTTTTGTGGCAACAGTTTGGAGAAGGGCCTCTTCTGTTTCAGCATCTCTGTGCCCCTGTACACAAAGGCACAGAGATGCCAGCAAATTATCTAAAGACCCAAAACCGACAGAAAAGACAACTACAACAAGACCAAAACTAGAAAGTATTACAAATATAGATCACTAGTGTACCTGGTACAAATGTGGAATACAACTACACAATGTAAAAAAAGACATGGTTTGACAAGTTTTGTGTGGAGAAACCTAAGTGGCCTGCACACAGCCCTGACCTCAACCTTGGATGAATTGGAATGCCAATTATGTGCCAGGTCTTCATGTCCAGCTTCAACTTTTGGCCATGTAGTGTGGGTAGTAGAACAAAATTCTGTTCTGCTGCTATACAAAAAAAGCAAAATGAGTAAAAAAAGCCAAAAAATCGTATCTGTATGGCCAAAGTGCTTACCTAAATCTAAGGTCGCATGCTAGGTAAAAATCTTCTATCTTCATCGCTGCATACGTGGAGGGTCATCCTTCAGCTGTCCACCTCAGTGTCTGGGTAATGTGAACACTTTCTAGTAGCATGATGCTGGCATTGGCTGCAGCATTGGATTCACCTGTTGACACTTTCAGAAGCAGTGCCAGTGAGGGAGACGGACAGCTTTGTTAGGCGAAATTAATGGCACCACAATGCACATCCTGGAGCAGAATTTTATATAGATATAGATTTTATAGAAGCCCACTCATCCGTTTTTAGAATTGACCATGATTATTGGCCCAAGAATTATTGCTCTCACACCGGCGCACGCGGCGATACCTGACATGCGTAGCGCAATTGTAATTTTTCGACGTAGGTGCACCTGACTTGTTTCAGTTAGTATATGCGCATTCACAGGAAAAAAAAAATGTTCTCCTTGCTATCACATGGTGGGGCTCAGAAGCCCCCTATGTAATAGCACATTGGAGGTGACAGGTTCTCTTTAAGCAAATTCCTTCAAGGATAATCAATCGTGGATTTATTCAATACTCATGTCAAATACACAAGCGTTTTCGGGACCACACAGCGTCCCATCATCAGGCATAGCAGTGACAAGGTTGCAAAAACAGTCTAGGTATATATAGACAAACGTAGGTGCATAAAAAAAACCCACAACACTCCCCTTGGCGTTGTTATGACGTCACCAGAACCGCCAAACGGCTGTAAACATGTCATAAAAGGAAGAAATATAACCTTCCAGTGTTCGTTTTCAAGTGGAAAATTTTCAACCTTTGAGGATCTATAATATAGATGCAAGCATGGAGACTGGATGCTTAAAACCATAACCGATAACTTAGGTGGGTTCTTACCTAATCGCCACTCACGTTGTGTAGGCAGAAAATGGGGTTGCCGTGCTTGCATTTATATTATAGTGTATTGCCAGTTTCAGTAAAGTTTTATGTTGTGTTGAAGCTACAATTTGATGTCAAGACAGAAGAGCAATTGTTGCAGAGTTAATTCTAACTTATATAATGTATTGTCTTGCTTTCACAGGAGCAAAACCAAAACCTGCAGCAAAGATTTCCAATGGAGTATGCGCAAAAAAAAAGGTCAATGAAGCTGAATGTCGAGAACCAAGCAGGTTTGTTCAAATATGCATTGTTTGTGTATTGTCTTAAGAATTAGGTCTAGTAAAATGCTTTTGTCTTCTATATCTTCAGCTAATTTTTAGACCCTCTACAGGTCTATTTTATTTACAAAATTTTGGGAAATAAATATGGGATTGAATAAGGGGATTTTGGTTAGAGCAAGTTTGTCCTTCATGCCCATGTTGGCAACCATCATTTGAGTGGATTCCGTTGCTTTATTAGGTTCATAGTGCTTGCCAGTTTGGGTAACCATGCAATGAAGTAACTTATGATAATTCCATACAAGAGGATCAGGAGGCTATGCTCGCAAGAATGTACAATCTAAAAGGAAGGGCAAGTGAATCAAAAAGTAATAATGTGGAGTGAGTAGATGGAGGTTGTAGAAGTACAATTTTTCGGAGGATAGACGTCTCCTAGTTTCCAGGGATCGCCTTAAGGCAAGCAGAGTAGGAGAAATCTGCACATATTGGGTTAGGGAGTTCCAGAGTATAGGGGAGGCTCTGGAGAAATCCTGGGGGTATGGGAGGTGGCGATTAAGAAACATGTAATTAGTTCCCTTTTAGAATAAAATTGTTTCCAGATCTGGCTAAAAAGAAAAAGATCAGGCAATACCTGCCTGGACAGTACGGTTATATGGACCAACAGGAGGACTAGAAATGGCTGATTTGTCTTGTGTGCATAATTACATTTGTGCGTTCTTTCTGTGGTGATTGGAATTTTTGCATTGTCTTTTTTTTCTTTTTGTTATTGTTTGCTCTTATTAGCACATCAACAAAAAAAATACCCACTGATGGAGGAAATGATTCTGGGCTTCAGAAAAGAAAAGTAATCAAAATGGGAACTGCTGTTCAACAAAGGCCAAAGAGTGCCCCAGCTGCACTTACTAAAAAACAAGGTACAATTTTCTTGATTTGGAAATGAATACCCGTGCGTATAGAGATGACTTGCATGAATATATATATAGTAAGTAAAAGAAGGGGAGAAACAGACCCCTATTCAGTAACAAGAAGCTAAGAAGGGTGCTGGGCCTGCCCAAAGGATGGCCATGCTCAATAAAACTAGCAATATGTTTTACTGCCAATGACAGGTGGTCATGTGGCCATCTTTGAATGTGCCTGCACTCACCATGATCCTCTGAGAGACTCGGCTGATATGTTTTAGTGCAGGTGTGAGTTCACGCCTTTGTTTCTTTAGCAGAAAATGGAAAGCTCATCACCTGTTGCAAAACTATAAATCCTTGTGCTATAATGAGAGCTTTAAAGTGCTCAGAAACACTAATTATTACCCATAGGCAAGCCCCTACAGAGCTTAGGCCAGCTTCACACTTAGGCAATCCGTGACCGCGCTGCAGTTGTGCACGAAACGGCATGGAATCGCACGCCAGCGCTGATCGCAGTGGCGGTGCCATAATCTAATGGCACTCCTGTCGTGCCAGGCAGAGTGCATGGTATTCCGCCCGTGCAACCGCGGATGATCACAACTGAAAAAACAGTGCGTCACAAAAAAAGGTACATGTACCTTTTTTCCACGGATGCTGCACGGCAAACGCTGTGTGCAACCACACATGAACGCGCGGCCCCGGAATCAGCCAAGTGTGCATCTGGCCTCAAGCTCTCAAACATTTTTTCAATAATGAATGCAGATCAAACAAATATACATTGCCCAGCAAAGTTATTTCCTGACGCCAATCCATTGCAGCATACGATGGGTATGGCTCCATTGTATGCTCCCATGTATTGGCGTCAGGAAAGGAAAATTACCGATGGGTAAGTATACAATTTTCCATTTTCTATACATTTCCTGTTAAGTACCAGATCAGCCTCCACCAGCTGTCCATCTTCTAGCTTGTAGAAGGGAGCAGGCGATTGGCTTGCCTTGCTGTTGTCTGTGTGCTTGTGGAGACACATACAGCTTACTATGACACTTATATATTTTTAATGCTGTGTGCATGAGGCATGAGTCCAGATGTGTTTGGAGCTCATTACTAAATGCACCTGGAAGCATGTAATGCTTTGTTATGGCTGAATGCACACCTAGATGTTTAGCAGCGTCTAGGTGCATTCAGTCTAGCGGTGTTTACACAAATAAGAATTTTCTGTGTCCTGGGACCATTTAACCTGGTTATAACCAGCTAAATGCATATAAACATCACTAAACACTGGAAAAAGTGATCTAGAAAGCATACAAGTTGTTTAACACTGGAGAAGTTCTCTAGGAAATATAAACGCAGTCAGCCTGTGTGCATGATTCTATATCGGTGGCTTCATAGGAACCTTGCGAGGTAAAGCAGTATCCCTAAAAGAGGATATTCGTGCCTGCACTCAGGGAACCAGATCACTATGCGGGAAACTAACATTTTTAAACCTCAAGTAGCAGTGTCTATTGCAAGTGATTTTAATCAGCATTTCAAATGGCTTAAAATTTTTTTTACTTAAATACCCCTCTATTTATCACAGGCTGGAGTCTCTGAATCTGTGCGATGAATGGCAACCCATACCGTTTTGTGTTTTTTGCCTTTTCAAGTGCAGTTAGAAAACGAAAAAACTTTATTGGCTGCCATTATTCACAGCCCTATGGTTTCTTTTGATGCATATTTTATAGCTTGGTACCAGTGACTGTAGGTATTGATGTATGATAAGTTCCAGTCATGCTGAGATTAAAGCAAAAGGGGGTTAGGGCCACTTTTAGGGCCTGTTCACATGAGTTTCAGGTCCGGATCAGGTGTGGATCAGCAGACTCGGTGCTATGTGTTTTGCCGCGTTTTTGATGCGTTCCAGTAAAAAAAAAAAATTGTAGTTTTTTTTGCTGGAGTGGGGCTGTCAGTATGTTAGCTGCAGTGCAGTGCGTTTTTTGATGCGTTTTGCATTTCCTGACAGTACAAAACGTGACATGTAGTATTTTTCTGTCTTAACTTGAACCTGCGCACGTGAGAACTGTAGCCCATAAAACACATTGAGATGCATTTTTAGTGCAGGAGCGTACGGATCAGGTCAGCACAGAAAACGGACGTCGTGTGAACAGGCCCTAACAGTGAGATAACTCTGCAATAGCAGCAATACTGCAGCTTAAATTCATCTGTCATTTTCAGTGGAAATAGCATGCGGTACATATCACTTTATTTCACATAACTCTCCACTGGACTACAAGGAGACATTGGCCTTATAGAATATTGCCATGCACCGTAGTAACGCTTTGCCCATCTAATCTCGTATCCCTCACCACCCATCTTCCCAATCACTGCCAACCCACTGGCCATGATGGCATGAGAAACTGAGCCAGGAAACGCCCTCTGAGGAGTACGGACTTAAAAGATATTGAGCAAAAAGTTTCTCTTCACTCCTCCCAGCCAGCCTGGAGTCTGGAAAATCATTTTGGCTTCACTTTCATTTTAACATTGTATTGTGTGGTTGCACTTTTAAGCATTAAATGGCTGATTACAGGTAAAAAGTCCGATCCAAAGCAAACTTCCGACATCTTGCCTGATTGGCCCGTTAAATAAAATAAAAAACCTCTGCTAAGCACTCTTTGCATATAAACGGACAAAATGAAACCATTGCCACATCAGGAAAAAAAAGCTTTTAGGAGCCTGTATACAGAAGGGAAATCTGGAACAGAAGTGGGTGTGTGGCCTTTACTGAACAAGTTTTGTCTTTTATTTCCTGGGGAAACTTAAAACTAGCATCAGAAAATGGATATACTGGTAGTAGAATTCTGAATATTTTAATACAATTGATTTAGGAAAATGTGATTTACAGAACAAAATTATCAATTTCAGAGTATACTGTAAGATTCTCTTTTACGGCTTTACGCTTTAAAACCATGTTAGCATTTACAGTAATATAAAATGCCCAATAAAACAGATTGAGATGCATTTGTTTTAGTTAATTTACCCATAGTTAATGTATGAATGTTCAAGGGAAATACCATTTGGTTTCTGGTGCATGAGACACAAATGTGACTGGTTCTTGGAATGATAAATTAACAGATTAGCAATTGGTAAAGCTTGGTTTTAACTTAATTTTTTTTTCCCTGCTATTTTTTTTAAGGTATATCTGGGGAAGCTTCAGAACTCCCTAAATCTATTTCTTCCAAACAAACTGATGTCAAAATGGAAACCAAGTTAGTGAACTCTTCTATTACTGGGGACAAGCATGCATCTGTGAATAAAAAGTCTACAAAACCATCAGTCACACCAGCAAATAAAACACATGCAACGGTGCCAAGTAATAAACACAGTTTAAACAGCAGTAAATCTTCTATATCGAATCATAAAGAATCCAAACCTATGGCTCAAAGTAGTTCCAAGAATTTAAGCCTAAACCACAAGTCATATCAAAAGAGTTCTCCCTCAGCAGTGAAAAAATGCCACAACCTAGCTGCAAATAATGCAGAGAGCCCAGTGTCTGTAGCGGATGAAGCCAAGCAATCAGCTTCTTATCAATTTGTAGGAAGAGCAGAAAACATTGTACAGCACTGCTCTGAAGGCCAGCCATTCACTGCTCAGGAGTCTTGTCAGGAAAATTCAATAAGCAATCAAGACTCTATGATACAGAAGCTTAATTTAGAGCATTGCCAATGCCAAGAAAATCTTCCAGCAACATCTGTTCTTCATTATGCATCTAATTCAAGTGAAGGTTTGTCAGGAGCAACAAATCAAACCAAAACAGCAAATGTTGACATTGCCGGGTCAGGCGAAGTGTACATTATAAGTACTGCAGGCGAGAGAAAACCAGACTGCAAAAATATCTGCAATTCAGAGAATTCCAAATGTGCCGACAGTTCAAGCGAAAGCGAGTTGTGTTCTGTGAAAGAAGTTGAAAGAATTCCAAAACAAAAAGAGGGGGAAGACATGACCTTATCCCAGTTTTCTCCGAACACTAGCAAGGTTACATCTAGTTATAATGCTGCTGAATCCCATTCACTGGGTAATTTTACCAGCTGTCAGCCTGTGCTAAATACTAATGGACATTTTATGAACTGCTCGTCAGAAAGGCAGTTATCTGATTATCAAACAGAGATGAATAATACAGAAGCAGCTGATCATGAGAACTTTGAATTTATAGGCCAGTGGAATAAACACTCAGGTATGCTACATGAGCGTGAAAGCCCCGAATCTGAGAGTGGCAGTGCTAGTACATCATCTGATGACATCAAGCCAAGGTCTGAAGATTATGATGCAGGTGGCTCTCAGGATGATGATGGTTCAAATGAAAGAGGCATCTCTAAGTGCAGCACGATGCGGTGCCATGATTTTCTGGGTAGAAGCAGCAGTGACACAAGTACCCCTGAAGAACTGAAGGGTTATGATGGCAGCTTAAGAGTTGATGTAAAACTGAAGAAAGACAACACTGAGTTATTCCGAGTCAATTCCACTAGTGATGATGAAGGACCTCAAAAAAGAATGGAGCCATGGCTGCAAAGGGATGTGCACAAACATAGTTCACATCACACAACAGTTTGCAGCAGTGTGCAGTTTTCTCAGGAAATTGAGCACCTGTCTTCATCAGCTGATGAAACTGAAGATGAGCGGTCAGAGACTGAAAGCGCTGGGCTCAAAGTTCCAGAAGAAGTTGCCACTCAGCCCTTTCAGGGCATTGTTAATTTAGCTTTCGATGATATTGCTGAAATGGAGGGGGACGGTAAGCAAACTACTGGAGATACATGTTTTAAGAGATCTGTCCTGCTGTCTGTGGATGAGTGTGAAGAACTGGGATCAGATGAAGGAGATGCTCATTTGTCACAAATTCGAAAAGCTGCATCACTAACTCCATCTGACGTGTTTGAGAGAAACGGTACTGAGAGTTGCTCTGGGAATTCCCATAATCATGACCCAAGTCCCATGAAGGGCAAAGCAGAGTGTGCTTCTATGACTGGCAACCAACCAACATTTGAAAAAAAGTCCATGGCTGATGAGGACTTTGAAGCCTCTGATCCACGTAAAGGCTACTACAAAACCACAGAATGTGAAATGAAGTCTCAGACAAGACCATGCCATTTGGATCTGTATACTGAATTACCTTCTGATACACAAAGGTTTTGCTGTACTAAAACTGGTAATGCATGTAAGAGTCAGTTTCTTGACTACCAAGGCAGAGACAACCATGTTCCATCTACTGAAAGCGCCAACACTGCTTTGTCTGCAGGTAATGAACATTAGCTATCACACATTAGAGTTGTATTATGTACTTCTAGTGCAGCGTTTTGTGGTCTGTCATGCTGACCTTTTTATGACTATGAGCTTATGAGTCATTTAAGCCACCGACACAGAAAAAGTATGAGGATCCGGAGTTCTCACTTCACCGACTGCATGCTTGTTTTCTGGTCAGTGACTTAAAATGTATTGAATCTGAGACCACCAGGCTGCTGGTAATTTGAAAAAGAGGTCAGCATTGGCAGGCTACGTATTTCTCTCCGTATAGGCTTCCTTTAATGCATTCGAACATTAACCACATTAAGGTGTAGTGGTGGAATATTTTACAGCAACAAAACTCACGATCATTTTTGACCTTTTGCATTGCTGTTTAGGAAGGATTTCACAGCCATTTTTCGTTTTGTGTTGCTCAGAAACCTGAAATGTGAAAAGCAGCTTCTGTAGCAACAATAAGAGGGTATTGCCCAAAAAATTATTTTGGGTTATGGTGGAGCACCGGACAGATAAAGTGAAAATAATTATGGTGCATATATACATAGACGTTCTTGATGCAATATTTATATGCATATTGGAATGGCTGAACAAGAAATATTTTTTTTTTCTTTTTTCTTGAAACATCACAAAGATTTGAGGCCCTTTTACTGCCCACAAAGATTCATTATATTTATGATCTATTTATAACCATTATAGTGCCTGTAAGCTTTCAGAAACAATTTGTCATCATCCTTTTCGTACATTCTAAAGTAGTTTCCCATATTTATAGTTTGTGATTTGTTGAGGAATGTTGGTTATTTTATCAACACACGTATAATACACAGTTCAGAAGCTTACAGCAGGTATACAGACACTGTCAGTTTGCCCATTCAGGCCACAGTGGCTGTGTTTTTGCAAAGAGCCTCCCACCCACTGGCACCTTGCCAGCACTCTCCACCATTGCACCTTCCTCCACCGTAGCTGGCAACTCCCAGTGCTTCCAGGTATAGGAGAGTCTGTGATCTCCCATGTGACAGTGCTCGGGTCCAGCAGCCAATCACTAGGCTCAGGTACTGTCAAGTGACATGGGGAGTGATGTCCTGGTAATGTTGGTGTCTAATAGTATGTACAAGAGGCAATGGACTCACATTTGGAAGGCTGCTGGTGTGTCTGCAAATCTACCTGGCGTCTGAGTGCCAGGACCCTGGAATGGAGCCTGGCTCAAAAGATAGATAGCTCCAGTGGTGGAAGGTGGGGGGTCTGGACGAAGTGTGGAGCAGCGCACATACTCGGCTGGCCAGGCCAAGCCGCGGCGGCTTGGAGAGGAGCCACGAACGGCTATGAGACGCCAGGCGCCGTGTGTCCACAGATTCTGTCGGGCTGGTGTCTCAAGGGTGTCACGAGTAATGCGAAAAATCCAAAGCTGTGTATGGAGTAAAAGGCTCTCAATGGGATGACGGCTACGCGTTTCGAGGCACAGCCTCTTTGTCAAGCCTCAATATGATCACATTGAGGCTTGACATCATCCCATTGAGAGCCTTTACTCCATACACAGCTCTCCACTTCGGAATTTTCGCATTACTCGTTACACCCTTGAGACATCAGCCCGACAGAATCTGTGGACACACGGTGCCTGGCGTGTCATAGCCGTTCGCGACTCCTCTCCCTCTCCAAGCCACCGCGGCTCGGCCTGGCCAGCCGAGTACATGTGCTGCTCCACTGCTCCACACTTCTTCCAGACTCACCACCATCCACCACTGGAGCTATCTATCCTTTGAGCCAGGCTCCATTCCAGGGTCCTGGCACTCAGACGCCAGGGGATTTGCAGATACATTAGCAGCCTTCCAAATGTTAGTACATTGCCTCTTGTACATACTATTAGACACCAACATTACCAGGGTAGTAGCGCTCCTACAGTTTGTGTATTGCTGTGTATCGATCTACAGGGTTCCTCTCCCTGTTATAAGGAGTTTGCACACCGACCATCCCATTTCATATTCCCCCAACCCAGTGACCAGCTATCAGTTGTGCGCTTATCCATCTTTTTAGTTCTTTTGCCATGGGGAGTGATGTCACCACTTCCCCTAGTGTCTGACACTGGAGATTTAGCTGTGCTGGTGAGGTGAGCATAAGGGTTAAGGGGCCCCCGAAGGGCAAGCGCCATTTATTTAAATTTATTTTTGAAATGTATTCAGCCATCATTTTGTATTTAATATATTTTTATTCTTTTCACTTTATGCATTCCATTTTCCTATGCATATTTTTATATGTAAAACTGTTCCTCGTGTAGAAAGGTAATTTTATGTTTTGCAGAGACAACCAAAAATCCTCAGCCTACCAGTAACCTATATTTAGCTGGGTTGTCTGTAAATTAGAACACTCAGACTCAAAACCAAATCCTCATATAGCTGTGCGTGCAGGCAGTGCTTACCTTGTTCCTTCCCACATACTCCCACTATCCTGATGAGCTGGAAGCTGTATCACTAAGAATTCACTTAAGCAGAAATTTGGTATAGCAAGCCATTGTCGGGCATTGCAGAAGCAATGTCAAACGTTAAATTCAGTATTTATTCACTCAGTCATTTTAGTACGTAATTACATATTTAAAATAAAGACTAATTTAATTTAGATTTTTATTAAGACTTGGCTTTATTTTTTAGCAAAGCCGTTTAAGTTGTACCTAGTATAAATATAATGGGTATAATAATGTACCAGAAATGTACAGACTGTAATTTATTGTCAAACAAACTAGAGCCATGGCATTATGAAAGGGGCATTTATAACTGCATATATTGAAAACTTGATTTTAAAGTATAGCTATCTCTTCTATTTAGACATTTTCCAACAGTGGCTTTGAAAGTAGTCAGTTGGAGTCGCCTCAATGAAGAGAGCTTTAATTCAGGGGTGGAGAGATTAAAGGTTCAGTCCACATAAAAAAAAAAAAATGTTTGCTTCGGTTTTAGGTAGCAGCTGTTTTAATCCACCCATTGGCTTCTCGTATCTCTCTTGAGACTTTGACGGCAAGATCCCTGTATCCAAGTTCCTAGGTGCACCCATCTATTGAAGCCATTACAAGGGTTCTTGCTCGTCTGATATTTAGTAAATGAAGCAGAATGTATGCTAGGACTCCCGTAGCAGAAGGATAAAGGCTCAACTAGGTATTCTGGTGGCGGTATGTTTGCCATTAGAGTCCCTGATATTTAAGACGTCATTGGGTTGTTCAGCCTCAAGCATCTACTCCATGGCTGCATTGTGTTGGGCAGGCTGACCCTTTAGTACAGAATTCAGGTGTCAGGACACGCTGTTAAGATGCCGGAAAGCATGTCTTTGTCCACCTGTTAATTATGGCCTTCTGCTAAAAAGAGATTACACCTACATATGAATTTTACAGCAAGTACTCTCATCTCCTTCCCCCAGTATAGGGGCACTTACCTACTTATGTGTACAGCTAGATAGATGATAGTCATAGGACTTGTGATAAATTTTTACGCTAAACACAAAACTTACAAAAAGAGATGCAACCCTTTTGTATTATTCTCTGTCTGATTGAAATGGCTACTCAAATAACCCATTTTCTGTATCAGAAATTCCAAAAGTTTGCTTCTTAGGGCGATCCGATGCTTGACTTGATTTCTAAACAGTGATCTGTTCCACATTACTGTCTAGAAATATATGTTTGTGAAATGTCTGTGTACCACAGTGTTTAATAAATGTATGTTCGTCTTCGTTGACTTTGGGGGGAAGAGCATAACTATTTTACAATGTACAGTATTATGAATTATTTCAGGACACATAGATGATAATGACTCATTGGCCCAAACCTGCATGTATGACCATCGTCCTCCAAAGTCCCTTTCTCCTATATATGAGATGGATCCTGGCGAAGGAATTGAGCAGAGACTGAAGACCGAAGCTAGAATGATGGATATTGAAATTGAAGATCAGCAGTTTGTAGAAAGGGACTGGACACTGCTAAGACAGCTGCTAGCTGATCATGGATCAGATGTTGATATCATAAACTCCGTCCCTGAGGATCTCAGCCTAGCACAGTATCTAATCAATCAAACATTGCTCTTAGCTAAAGATAATTCTAATTCTAAATCTCAGGGCAAAGCATGGGGGGATTTGTCATCTCCGTTCGAGGATTCTACAAGCATCACAATGACTAGTTACTCTCCTGACGAGTGTTCATCCCCCCATGGAGAATGGACTATCCTTGAATTAGAAACCCATCACTAGGTTCCATTGTTTTCACTGTTTTTGATCCAACAATCTTTCCAGGGTTTGTTACAGAGAACAGCTGAATGTTGCTAAACAGTCTAATTTATATGAAGCTGTTTATAGGTAACATAGTCATTTCAATAAGACCTACAGCTGTGCACTAAATTTTCCATACAGCTTGTTCTGGCTTATGCTTTTCTCTATAATATAAAAAAATATATACACACACAAATTCTTTTACTAGAGGGTATATAATCTATATATAATTTTAAAAAAACCTCAAAAGCCACATATAAACTCCGATTTCCAGCAAACAGACTGGTTTGTTTTCTTCCAACTGACACAGTTCAGTTTTTTTCCAGATTATAATAGTTGGGTTAAAAACGGTTTGTGCCAAGGGCACATTTTTTTTTTTTTTACATGCCAATTTTATATTCCATTAATTGGGCGAGCAAGACTTGGGCATGCCATTTGTGTGTGGTACCTGATAATAAGACTGTCTTGAGAAGATTCTAATTATTATGAATGCTGTGTATTAGAAATTTTTATGGTTGGTCTTGCTTCTCAGAGCCTCTTGAGAGGTCAAAATGTAAATAAAATGGAATTGTTATTACCACTGTTTGTAGTGTTACGTACATGAATCAATTTCTTTACTTATAAAGCGGTCTAAAGCCAAAGTTTTTTGTTTTAGTTTTGGAAAGAGTAGGGAATTGTTAAAACCCTCATCCG